GAACTCACCTTCAAAAACATTCAGTGCATTCAACAGATACATGTTCATAAACTCCTAAAAGGCATTATTCAAACATTCCATAAATAAGGAAATAGACATACTAAATTATTAACTCAAAATCTATGAAAAAGTCTGTTACAGAATCAGGAATAGAATCAAACTCCAGTTTCCCCTCCCCCACCCCCAGTCCATTGTTCAAGTCACCTACTTGGCTTAAATAATGTTGTTCTATGCATCAGAAACATAATTAGTTATGACAGGAACAGAAACTTCTCTCCCAAAGGCTTCAAATCTATTTTAGTAAAATATGTTCAAATTTAAAATGAGAATGGTTTCATAAATGGCAACTATTTATTAAACCCAGAAAAGTATTTCATCTTGTATTAGGTTAAGCAATCTGTAAGGAATAGAGACTATAATTTTAAACATAGAGCTGGAAAAGCAAACCAGTAGCAAAGACCAAAGACTGTGGAGATGTCTACCTCTCTAAAAAAGAAATAAGAAAAATAGGAGAAAGGATAAAAGAAAAATAAAACCTAAAACTGAAATGTTTCTAAGGAATACAATGGAGTATCTCTACCATGGACAAACAGCTTGAAAAATATACTTCCAGATAAGCATCAGATACCTATTAACCCATCTTTCACATTAGCAAAATGTTTTTTTTCCCCCACAGGGTATCTCCTGGGGAAAACTAGGTACTGTCATATATGCTGTTAAGTTGATAACAGCATTTTCTGGAGGCTATTTGGAAATAAGTCATAAAAATTCGTTTTTTAAAAAATATATATACTTAAGTTCTTTTATACTAACTTTAACCAAGTAAGGTAGATGGATTATTGTTCTCAATTCTTTATATTCTATTATAAAATTATACATCCACACCCTTTGTCATGTAACTTTGCAGGGCTTAGCCACATGATTTGTTTTGGCTAATGAGATATTAAAAGACTTGATGCCAGCAGAGGCTTAAAATGTATTTTGGTAGTTTGGTCTGCTTCTGGTATTCTGGTGAAGTGGGTATGCCCCAGGTAGCTGCTGCCTCTTCATGGTAGGCCTCAGAGTGAACAGGTACAGAGCAGATCTAACCCAACTTGTAGCCTGGAGGCAGGGCTAGCCAACCCACAAACTGAAGTAGATGTGTCTGGGCCTAGATCACGAAAGCAGATGTGTCCAGCCTAGATCACGAAAACCCCAGGTGATGTACAGACCCAGTGTGAAAATAAACGTCGTTAAGTCACTCAATAAAACACCGGTTTGTTTTGCAGAACTATTACAGCAACAGCTGACCAATACACCCAGTAATCTCACACCTAAGAATGTATCCTAAGGCAATCAGAGAGAAACAAATTCACATACGTATTTCTATCATAGCGATATTTATAATAGCAAAAAACTGGAAACATCCTATCATCAAATATTAGAGGACTAACCAATTATAATCTAGCCAGACCACTAAATATTTGAACCTATAAAAATCGTATTTTTAAAAAACACTAAAAAATGTAAGATGTTCATAATACTTTGTTTAAAAAGCATAAAAAGATGACTATTTTAAAAAATTATCTAACCTCTATCCTGACAAGCAAAAGACCACACATCATGCCAAAATGAGGAGGGAGGGGTGCAGAAAAAGAATGAACCCTGTTAAAGAAATTAATAGTTGCTTCCACATTTCAGTATTAAAATAGATGGATTCTCTGATTACAGTGGTTCATATACCAAGAGGAGAATGTCATTGGATATTTAAATGCTAACTCTCCCTGGAACAGACAAAAGTTTGGTGTTGAAGATTTTTTAAATAATGTTTCTTGTCTATTTCTGGTTATAAAAAGGAAACATATTTATTATACAGATTAAAGCAAATATACACAAGATCTTAAAGAAAAAATAAACTACCTGTAAATTCATCACCTTCCCACATTTCATAGTGACACTGTTTCTATATGTATTTACATGCCTACATACATATATACATATGACACACTCAAAAGTGGGATTATAATGCATATAAAGCTGCACGTCCTTTTTCACTTGCTTTATCATGAGCACACTATATGATTAAAATATTTTTGAAACCATGATTTTTAATGGCTCCATAACACATAATTTGTTTAACTAATCAAGTCTGGGGATTTCCCGAGTTAAAACTGTCAACCACAAATTAAAGCCCTGTGGGTCAAGGAGCTGACTTCAAAATCTGCAATGGGGAGTTTATTCAAAAATCTCAAGTTACAGTTTGAAAACACTGGAGACTTCTAACCAAGAATTCAATGAAATTCACTAAGTTTTAGCCATGAGAGATGCTTACTAAAGACCATATTTTCCCAAATGGAGCATAACATTTCATAATTAGTCTTGAGGAAGAAACCAATTAAGTATCAAATACTGAGGTAGTAATAACAAATAAGAACTAGTACGTGCCCATTGTAAGAATTAATGACTATCTACAATGTTTTGTTTTTTTAATAAAGCAAAAAAAGAGAATGTATGCATCTATTACTTGTATAAATTTTCAAGCGGATATAGAAAAAATGACGACAGAAAAGTGTACATAGTATAAAAAGAATAGAAACAAATAATGATACAGGATTAGTAGTTGTTAATTCTGGAATATGACATTCTTTGTACTTTGCTGTATTTAGCATTTTCCCCACAACCAAAAAAATTGTTAAATAAAAATATTTGTGAGTAAGATAAATCAGATTTTAGTTATTAAAGTAAAAGGAAAATCAGTATTTTGCCAGAGGCTAAGTAGAACTTTTGAGAAGGAAAACCAAAATGCTAGGCATTCAGCATTAGGCGTTTATTGTAAAATAAAACTATTTTAAACTGAATATCAATGTTTTATGTTGGAAATAAGTCTGAGGAAGGCCCAGCTTTTGAACTTTATTTTTATTTATTTATTTTTTTAAAGATTTTATTTATTTATTTGAGAGAGAGAGACAGAGAGAGAGCATGAGAGGGGGGAGGGTCAGGAGGGTCAGAGGGAGAAGCAGACTCCCTGCTGAGCAGGGAGCCCGATGCAGGACTCGATCCCGGGACTCCAGGATCATGACCTGAGCTGAAGGCAGTCGCTTAACCAACTGAGCCACCCAGGCACGCCGCTTTTGAACTTTACATCTGTGCTTTCTTCAAGTACTAGCCTACCTAAAAATATATTTTCTGTTCTATCAAAAAGGTTGTTTTAACAGTTAAGCAAATATTTTAAAAATTTCAAGGTTGCATTTCAGTTTCTGACTCCATTCTCTCTACTTTTTTTACTTTGTATACCTAAGGTTTTCCTGATGCCAGGCCCATTTTTTAAAAATCTAGTTTCTAAAATCCAAACTTAGTTCAGATGAGAGAGTTTACCACTTGATGAACTGTCTTACCGAACATAAACATAAATGGTTGCAATTTTCTATTAAGTGAGGTCCCTAGTAGAAAACAGAAATTAAAGAATAAAAAGTTATAGAAATAAACCAAATCTTTACATCAGTTCTCACAAAAATTTCAAATAAATGTAAATTTTTTCAATTGCCCCATTTTCTCCAAATCTAGCTTTAGAGTGTCTTAACTTTGTGCAGCATCCCCAACCCCCTAACTCCACTAATCAGTTCTCACCTTCTTTCCCTGCTGGAACACGTGAATTTTTCAGCAAAAGTGACTCATTCATTGGCGTCTTGTCAAACTAACCCTGAAACTATAAGGAGGCTCAGCGCTAACAGAATTCTAAAGCTAGAACATTTTCACTAACACACATCAATTTGACTTTAGAGAACTGAATCACTTTCAAAGCCAAATACATACTAACGAACTCTGTTTATATTTTCCCTTACAAATTGTTCTCCGCCATGCTACCTCCTCCCAATTTTATTTTGGCAATTCCCTAATCTAAAATATCTCCTGTCTCTGGAGAAGACAAGATGGGGGAACACAGAAGCATAAGAACAGGACCGGGGAGAAAAAAAGCAGTTGTGTTCACTCAGCTTGCAAAAAGATTCTATTCTGAACAATTAAGGGCTCACATGCATTCCACATAGGTCTCAAAATTTATTTCTCCCCTTAGTTAAAACACAATAGAAAACACAATACAAACACAATCAGAAATCTCCAGAGATAAATTACTCTCATTACTATTATTTCACTAAATAAAAGTTTAAAAAAAACACATGAAAATCAATTATTGAGAACTATTTAGTCAAAAATCTTCAATAAGATGTCACTAGCAGGAACTATCAACTGCAAATCACCTTATGCTTTTGGTTTACACGTTCACCTATGCCAAGACAGAAAACTGCTCCTTTTAACCAGAGGGAGAGCGGTGGGGAAGGAACAAGAAAACACATGCTTTGTCAGGTTACCATAGACATTTACTTAGTGTTCTATCAATTGTCACACTCCACCTGGTGGCAGGAGCTGCCTGAACTGGTGAAGTAGAGGTCATTATACAAGAAATTCCAAAGACTACTTTCCAGATGTCCTTGGAAAAAAAGTAAGATACTCTTCTCTTGCTCTATATAAATAAATCCAACAAGGTTCCATCTAATAAAGAATAACATAAAGGTATGACAATAATCAGAATGGGAGACCTACATTTACAGCTATTTATTTACAACCATTTTCTCCACAGTAAGTTAAATGTCATCCCAAGCCTTTAAAACAGGTTAACAAGACACATCCAGCAACTACAAGATTCTCTATCACACACTCCCACTAACTTTCTTTACCTCTTTCCCCTATGGGTAAACTAGAGAGTTTAATTAACACAGTTAACAGCAGCCTGCCACACTGCTTTTAGGTATTTGCCAGTAACATATACCCATGGGATACTCTAGACACTGATTTCAACCAAAAATAAAAATAGATAAACAGAGCTCAAACAAAATTAAAACTGAGTCTGGCTGCCCACACTTATTTTCACACATGAGGAAAAATAGCAGTTCTCCTAGAAGCCTCAAGCAGACATATCTTTAGAACACAATGTTAAAAATATGCCCCCCACCCTTTTCCCCTACCTGTTTCTCACTCAAAGCTGTGATTTTGGCTTGGAGTTCATGAAGCTGTTTCTTTAAATCAGCATTCTGATTGGAAAGAAAAAATATCTGTGAGAAAGATATTTCATTTGTTAACAGAATAGTAGCAAGAAGACTTTATGCATACTGTATTACAAATGATGAAGCAATCTTAAGCATTTAGCCAATCAAATTTGTCATGCATTAAACTGTAGTCATATTATCACCACCTAATGTAGCTCCTAACACTGGAACAGGGGCAGTTCCTTTGCAATTGTTCCAAATTACAAGAAGTTTTATATTTTAGCATCTTGTACTGTTATAGTATTTATTCCTTTCTATTGAAATATTGTTATTCTTTCTAGAAAGCATCAGTTGACAGAAAACCTAAAGCTCCACTAATCAGACAAAAGCAGGAAAACTGAAGTTATAAGTATGCATACACTGCATGCTTAATGGCATTATCAATAAAGATAAGAGTGTTTTCTCTACTTGCCCTCTCCCTTATTTAGTAGAGTACATTTGTTATTTTAGCCTAGATTTGAAAAGCTGTCAGCGCTGCAACTGCCTTAACACTACATCATTCAAATTAACACACTGACTACCAGGGTATTTTCTCAGTTCTAAAATTCTGGGAATCAAAAAAGAATACTATTTTAGATGAGATACACTGAGCGTGCTTGCTTTTTACTCAAGTGGGGAAAAAATCCAAAATTAAAATTTTCAAATGCTTAATGTAGCAGGACAGCCTACTAACAGACTGAACATCATTCCAATAAAAGACTACTTTTTCTTCATTGTTTCACATGCATTTCTTTTGATTTCACCCTGCTTGGTCTTCTGTCAGAGTTGGGGCATACATCCTCCCCTTTATGTTTACTCTACATTGTCTTTTTTATAAGTATATTTGACATAAGGCTTCCCTAATGAGATCAGTCACAAGATTGTCCAACGACTTACTGGCCCCTCAGATTCTTTTAAGACTGCTCTGTTACATGACCACTAGCTCTGTCAGAAATGCTAAAATTTTCAAGTAATATTTCAGTTGCTGACAATGTAGGTTACCATATTAAATATAAAAGAGTCTATTAATCTAAGGTCTACTGCCTCTTGGTTTCCTAAATCTAATTTAAATTTTAATACACTTTAAAAAATAAATAAAAATGGAAAAGCTTCCCAAAGAAGTAGGACTGTCAAACAGGAGTTAAGTGTGGGCCATTAATGCCCAGCCCTCAGAATCAATGGATTGTGTTAACATACACTAGTTAGGCCACTGGGTGTTAAGTTTTTGAAGAAATGAATCTATTTCCCACTTCCAAAAAAATCAATCTGCTTCAGTACCATTCTTTAAATCCAAGAATTTATTTTCTTAACCTTACAATGAGGCATGTATGGTATGTTTAACAACTACATATATACAGTGTATGTATGTAAGTATATATATATATGTATAAATATATATATTTACACATATACAATGGGTCTAAGTGTTCTGTGAACAGATTTATGGGTAAACAAATCCTGAAAGTCTGATACGTTTCAAACTTGTGACCCACTGTCTAATGGCTACAAAAGAGACACGACCCGAACAATAAATGTAATCATCAAAGACAAGATAACTTTTTAGGAAGATTTCTCTTCAGGGATAGAGAAGAAAACGCCTAAGTCAAAAACGCCTATGAGAATTTAAAGAGAAGGTAACAGCTGCTGGATTATTATACAAGGTACTTTTATTTATTTTTATTTTTTTTAAGATTTTTTTAAATTTATTTATCTGAGAGAGAAAATGGGAGACAGAGAGCATGAGAGGGGGAGGATCAGAGGGAGAAGCAGACTCCCCGCTGAGCAGGGAGCCCGATGCGGGACTCGATCCCGGGACTCCAGGATCATGACCTGAGCTGAAGGCAGTTGCTTAACCAACTGAGCCACCCAGGCGCCCCTACAAGGTACTTTTAAACCCTCTTTAAGGGCTCTTTCAAAGATAAATTTTTTAAAAATTTCTTTAAAAATTATTCTGAAATTATTTAATCATAGTGGAATTAAGTATTTAAATGTTCTGTACTATACCTGTACTATATAAGCTATGAGAAGATAAGAATTGTTCTGGGCCATATACAATAATTTGGAGAATACAGAAAGCCTCAAAAACTGATTCTGACTAAATAGGCTTATGGAAATGAAATCTGAGCCATATGAAGAATATTAACTCAATTTCTCCCCAAAATACTCAAAGAAATGAACATAAAAGTGAAATAAATAACAGAAACAAAGATAAAATGATAGCTACACTATAATAGAATGACTGAATTTTTCTAAACCCTTATAACATGAAGACCAATATGCTAAAAATAATTGCTGTTAGAGATGAGATAGTTTCTAAAACTTAAGTCCTGGTCTGTATTTTAATATCTTATGGTTATTTTAAATTATTTTAAAAATTAAATGAATAAAAGTAGTATTTTACCTGTGGATCCTGCTTCATTTGAGCAACCAGTTTCTGGTAATAAAAAGAGAAAAAGAGCCATCAGTCTTACATTTTAACCCACTATGGCTAATCAGACTTGGCCCCAAAAATCTAAAGTTTTAAGTCTACCCAAAAAAATGAGCAACACACAATCAGAATAGACCAAAAGCTTCTGTGATCCACATAAAAGGTTAATGAGACACTCTTCCTAATAAATACATATACATACATATATACCTCTGTGTGTATACATATATATACACACACAGGTGTATATAAATAAATCAAACTACCACTTTGTGTTTGAAATGACAAGCTCCTGCTTTTTAACAAATCTGGAGAAGGGGTGGGGGATGGGGGCTTTTAAAAAGCAATTTAAACAAGATGGATGCTCCAAAAGCCAAACATCCCTTTAAAATGTCATTGTTTAGAGTCCCAAAAGGCCTGGAAAGAAGCTGCTCCCATAACAAAACAGGCCTGTCTGTATACAGCAAAGTACAGATTTGGCAAGTCCAGTGGTTTGTTTCTTACCATAAAGGGAGTCTAGTGTCAGCTACGACTTTGCCACTGTCTTCTCTACATGGGGTATACTCAGTGGAACAACAACACAAACGCTACCTACCTGGGTTCCTCTGGGAAGGAGAGTGCTACCAGAATACTTAATAAGAAAGACCTTTACTCGGGAAAGCAGAAGTCCAAATAAATTAAAAAGAAAGAAAAATGGACATCTTCTGACTTAACCCAACTTCTAAAAGCATCACTGCCCAAAGATAACAATAACCAAGACAGAAAAATTTGAAGGATAAAAAATATCAGAAAGCTAATTCCTCAAAGTATCTGGGAATAAGCTGTTCCCCAAGTGAATTTTTCATGTAACTAAAAAATCTGTCCCTCTCTTTGAGTGTCAAGGTACTTTTAAATATTTTAGTCATAAAATATTTCTAAAATATATACTTATCTGCCTTCTTAAAAAGAAAAAAAGTCAGCTTTGATTGATACTTAGAGGCATGATTACATCAATTAATAGACTATTCTATAAACAGCACAATAGGTCCTTATAATAAAGGCCCCAAACTGCTATGATTTAGAGAGTCCTCATGTCTGCATTTTAGTTTTTCAATCTACATCTTAATGCCAAGGAGTTAGCTAGCAAATCTTGTTACTATTATTACATCTCCTCCAACAGCCCCTGAACCCCAACTCAAATTTGCGGCTTCTGATCTGCTGTGTGATATGCACAGTGAACTAATTCTAAGATGAGCAAACAGGTTGTGATAGCTTAAGAAATGCCCCTTGAGTAAAATGTATACTCTTTGGTGAATGACTTCTGATATTTATTGTAGCTGGTCAAGAACCTTACTTCAGGTGCTAAGATGCATTCTGGATAGCTGAGGTTGCCAACAATGTAACCTCCATATACACAAGGTATATGTTACTAAACTCTGCTTCATACGTGACAGTAGTAACTCTTCCGTATCCTGGCCTTAATCTACAGAACAGTATAACACACATTCCAAGAGCTCAGCGAAACTGAAACACAACTTTATACACACATATTTTTTACCAGTGCAGCCTAAAGGCTAGCCTCATTTTTTTTCCTTTTTTTTTTTTAGATTTTATTTATTTATTTGACAGAGAGAGACAGCGAGAGAGGGAACACAAGCAGGGGGCGTGGGAGAGGGAGAAGCAGGCTTCCCACTGAGTAGGGAGCCCCATGCGGGGCTCGATCCCAGGGCCCCGGGATCATGATGTGAGCCAAAGGCAGACACTTAATGGCTAAGCCAGCCAGGCGCCCCTAGCCTCATTTTTCAATGAAAAAAGTCCTTGCTTTTCTTTTTTAATTTAGTTACTAGAGTTGGCTACTATACTAAAGTTTGCCTTTTTAAATTTTTTTTAAAGATCTTTATTTATTTGAGAGAGAGAGCATGAACAGGGGGAGGGGCACAGGGGCTTGATCCCAAGACCCCAAGATCATGACCTGAGTAAGGCAGACGCTTAACTGACTGAGCCAACCAGGGGCCCCTAAAGTTGCCCTATTTAAGCCAAAAAAGGTTTTCTTCCATGACACTGGAACTTAAAAACTGACAACCGCACTAAGCCTCCACTCCTGGAGGAAATAAATAAACCAACTTTTCTATCTATAAGTAGTCAAGCTGCATTTAGACAATCAGAGGCAGGACAGGAGAGGCTAGGTAACTTAACTAGACCATCCAAATCCCTAGTGACTTTAAGCTGACCCTGTGTTATCAAAATTAAGCTACTTTCTTTTGCAAGAATGCAGCAATTTCTTATGAGGATATACTTATGCCAAGGGTCCGCATAAACTACAGTACATGGACAAATCCAGCCCACAATCTTTTTTTTTTTAAGATTTTATTTATTTATTTGACAGAGAGACACAGTGAGAGAGGGAACACAAGCAGGGGGAGTGGGAGAGGGAGAAGCAGGCTTCCCGCGGAGCAGGGAGCCCGATGCGGGGCTTGATCCCAAGACCCTGAGATCATGACCTTAGCCGAAGGCAGACGCTTAACGACTGAGCCACCCAGGCGCCCTACAACCTTTTTTTATAAATAAAGTTTTATTTGGACACAGCCACACCCATTCATTTATATATTATCTATGGCTGCTTTGTCTATACAGCAGCAGAGTAGTAGTGACAGAGACCATAAATGTCTCACAAAGTATAAAATATTTTACTGCCTTTACAGAAAAGTTTGCTGATCTCTGCTTTATACTATCCTCTGTTCCATGTATATACTCCAGAAGTTTAAATATGGTTTCCATCAAATCTATGTAAGAATAATTAAAAAGGCAGTTTCTCAAAAAAGATGAGGTCACCATCACAGGCCATTATTATTTACCATTTACTCAACATCAACCCATATGTACACTGCAACTTTCTTAACCATCTCCCTCTCCATAAAGAACAGAAATATACTTCTACCACAGCAATACTTTCCTAACATGCTTCTATCCAGTAAGCTCAATTCAGCCCAAATTCCATCCCTAACTGGAAATGCAAAGGGGAGGCTTTTGCTCCAGTATTTAGTCAAATGTATGATCTGGCTTTGGCCTCAGCCTAACAGCCAGTGCCTACTTTGATGTCATTTCTGGCATTTCTGAACTTGTCATGATCAGTGATCATGTAGGTTACCACATATCCAACAAGAATAATAACATCAGATTTACAAACAAGGCATGTCACTTGTATTTACTACTAATACTTAGTATTTTTCCCCAAATAGGAAAGCATTCTAAATGTAATTACAGTGCAAACAGATGTTTTGTAAGTATATAAGTTGAAATATTATCAATCACCATATAAATAAACGATTACTATTGCACAAAATGTGTAATAATTAAGGATGAATATAAAAGCTCCTGATTTATCCTAAAAAAAAAGTTAAGTATATAGAGAAATAAACAATGTAAATATTAAGAAACTGGGATAACTTTTGGAAGAACGTTACATCCCTTTTGAGTCAACAAATGTAATTTTAAAAATTAAATTAGAGAGCGCCTGGGTGGCTCAGTTGGTTAAGCGACTGCCTTCGGCTCAGGTCATGATCCTGGAGTCCCAGGATCGAGTCCCGCATCGGGCTCCCTGCTCGGCAGGGAGTCTGCTTCTCCCTCTGACCCTTCCCCCTCTCATGTGCTCTCTCTCATTCTCTCTCTCTCAAATAAATAAAATCTTTAAAAAAAAAATTAAACTAGATTTTAAAAAGGAATAAACATTAAATTTTTTCATAATTGTAATTTTCATAAAATTGGTACTCCTGAATTAAAAATAAAGAAGCAAAATAATATTTAAGAACTCTCATTTTGGGGATGCCAGGGTGGCTCAGTTGGTTAAGCATCTGACTTTGGCTCAGGTCATGATCCCAGGGTCCTGGGATCGAGTCCCGCACTGGGCTCCTTGTTCAGTGGGGAGCCTGCTTTTCCCTCTGCCTGCCACTCCCCCTGCTTGTGCACTAGCTCTCTCTCTGACAAATAAATAAAAATTTTAAAAAAGGAATTCTCATTCTCATTTTTAGGGGCACCTAGGTGGCTCCACTGGTTAGGCATCTGACTCAATTTCAGCTCAGGTCATAATCTCAGGGATAAAGCCCCATGTCGGGATCTACCCTAGGTGTGGAGCCTGCTTGAGATTCTCTCTCTTTCCCTCTCCCCCTCCACCCCCTTCTCTCCCTTTCTAAAAAAAAAAAAAAAAATTCTCATTTTTAGTAATTTAGTTCAATTTAGGAGATGAGTCTTTCAAGAAAGTCTTATTTGGGACTTGTTCATATCTTGTGAGGATGAACTAAAAGCAGAATGTCAATGCTGCCATCTCCAAATTTCTTGAGAGGAGGAATATCTCCTAAAATCACACAGCTTCATTAAATATCTTTGATCCATACAAATTTCAGATTGGTTATTGTTCTCCAGAAATCCCTTCTATGATGATGTCAGCTCTGAACAAATTATGAATTTAACTGTTGTCATTTGCCATTCAGCCAAATTAAGTATTCAACACAACTCTAGGTTAAAATACATCTGGGAAAAAGACAAGCTTGATTTTATAAATAGATTTTCAATCTCCTCAACTAGTAACAGAAGCAAGGCCAACTAAAATAAAATGTGCATAACTTATTATATACTAAATTTCTTAAAATTACCATAAAACAAAACACACTTCACGTAGAGAAGCTCACCTGTACACAGCAAACTGTAAGACTACTGCTGAGCAGGAGTTTAACAGATCCAAAGCAGAAGCAGGGATTTCTGAATACACAGAGACTTAATAGTGTGTGTGTGTGTGTGTGTGTGTGCCTTTGAAGCTTTCCTGTAAGCTCTCATTCACCCTAATTCTAAGCAGCTTGCAAATGTAGTAGTTATCAAAACCTAAGGGGTGCTTCCAACAATTTCAGAAATTAACTTTACATTAAACTATTCAGATAAAACAAGGGAAACTTGTTTCCTTCTCTTTTCTACTTCTCCACCCCAGACATTTAAAAGTAGTCAATTCATCATCATTTATCACTTCTGATTGTATGTTTGTATGTGTTTATCTTGAACCTGGGACCACATCCAGCTAATGTCTAGAAAGGGGACAGAAACAGTGATATTCTGTTTACAAAATATATGTTAATGATCCATTTACTTAAGGATAGCTTCAGTTCTGGATTAGAGTTATATTAAATAAAATATGTTATACACATAAAAAATATATATTTAATATTTTATTGATATTATATGAACAATTATTAACATATTTTTATGTATATACTTGAAGGTTTGTTTAGCCTATGCACCTGAGGTAAATTTTAAGAATTGTGATTATCTGAAATTTAAACATCTGTGAAGGCAGTGATGTTTTCTTTTTTTTTTTAGATTTATTTATTTAAGAGAGAGAGAATGTGTGAGCGGGGGGTGGGGAGGGGCAGTAAGAGAGGGAGAGAGAGAATCCCAAGCAGACTCCATGCTGACGGTGGAGCCCAACAGGGGCTAGATCTCATGACCCTGAGATCATGACCTAAGCCGAAATCAAGAGTCAGAGGCTTAACTGACCTAGCCACCCAGGTGCTCTGGCAGTGATGTTTTCTTTACTAAAGATTGGAATCAAGGCATAAGGCTGAGGTATGTGCAAAAACTTCAGTATAAATGGTAGTCAACTTAAACATGTCTCATTACTTAAAATATACAAGTTAAGTCACATGAACAAAGTTCTTCAGATGAACCCAAAAAAAGGAAAAAAAGTTTGGGTGGTTTTTTTTAACACCTTTAGTATACGAAAAAATATTTTCCATTCTTTTCTCTGGAAAGGAAGTCAGGAATATTTTATTAAAGTTCTTATAAGTATTGTCAGTGAGTTTGTTACGTAGCAATAAAAGGCAAATGATATGTCTCTTGGACAACTGTCTGAAAGACGATTAAAAAGTGTACTGAAATTCAGAATTGGGACAGTTTACTAATCTTAGCCATTACTTAATAACACAACACAGAGAAGCCAATAATGGAACATACCTGGTGAACCTGAATTTCCACTTTAAGAGCCTCCTGTAGAGTCTGCAACTCCATCCTCCACCTTTCCACTTTCTCTTATGTCTGCTAATTCTACAGTTTCTTCAGCTTCCGTTTAAAATAACAAACTCCTCTTCTCACTGCAGCTGTGGAGATCATAAAATGTTTTGGATCATGAAGGAAATATTTGTGTTAAATAAAAGAAATTACATTAGTTGAAAATTATTTGATACTCTAACACAGAGCAAGAAATTTCCCAAACAGATTTCTTTCCAAAATGAATAGTTTTGTACCGAATTAGTACCAAAACTTTCTGGGTTTTATTCATTGAACATTCCTCCACAGAATACTTCAAGTAAGTAAGAAATGGGGGCGGGGAGTGTTTAATCTAGTCATGAAAACATCTAAGCATGCTTACATGCCCAGCATCGTGATACATACTACATTCTGAGGATACAGAGCTGAACAAGACCACTTCTCCTTTAGATGAGCTGAGAATCTAGAGGGCGAGACTACAACCATCCAGGACACACTGTCCTTAGAGACACATAACAACAGGGTCATACATTTTTAAACATCACACAGAGTGAACTGGAAAGTTCAGGGTCTCTCAGAGGTTAAAGAAGACCAGAGTACTTTCATCTGGATGGATTCTTACTCTATTTTAAAAATAAAACTCAAAACAGGAAAATTCTCGTATCATTTAAAGATTCACATTTAACAAATTAATACTTTACACAGATACAATGCAATTGAACTCTGCTTTGCATAACGTTACGACAGGATGTTAAAAAATAAACCTCTCATGTATAATAGAGGTGGTAGTCTAGCAATGGATCAGACATTTCCATCTTGACAATGAACACCATCTTCTTCAAGCCTGCCAGCGCATCTCTTTTAGTTGTGTGCATAACTGCAAGTGGTAATAACGTCAAAAGTCTAGACTTGTGAATGTGAGCCTTCCTATTCTGCTCTGCTCATCACCACAATTTAAATGAACTCAATGGCTAATTTCTCTTTTAAGTTTTTTCTTTTTTCTTGAATGTGGCCTTAGACATGATTTGAGGTAACCTCCCAAAGCAAAAGTTTGCTTTTGCCAAAATACATTTAAACTTCACTTCTTTCCCTTCTCTTTGTACCTATAAAACCTGTAGCTAGAGCAGCTTTGCAGCATTCTTACAAACTGAGGAAGGGAACAATCAGGAATCTGAAAGAACCACTACTCCTTAAACCAATTCAATGAGATTCATAATCTTTACACTTCCCAAAAGTTATTTATCTATGGATCAAGTCCATATTCAACCTAAGTTTTCTTAAAACTTCTTTAAAACCTTATTTAACACTTATAATGGAATCATTAACTACAGAATATATTGCTGTGAATATTAATTTTCATTAAATTTGCTTAATCTTGCTAGACTTAAAACATCACTGTCTACCTCTCCCTTACGATCTATATACTATGTTATGTAACACCAAAACACTCTAACTTAAAAAACAATAAATTTCAAAAATATAAAATTCCTTCAAACTTAACATTTGTGAGGCTAGGAAAGGATTACTATACAATGATACTATCAACCAAAATAGGCAGTATTTGTATAGGGGAGACCATTTGGAAAAGGAGGTATGTTTCGATAAACTACAAAAGCAATTTTTTAGCTACGTATTATCTTAGAAAATCTATGGAACTGTAATAAATAACTAAATATCAGAATCATGAAGTTACTGAGGTTTTTGTTGTCATGTAAGTTTACTCTATATACAAAAGCAAATGTTAAAACTATAGTATCACTTTAACTTTATTTTTTTCTAAGATTTTGTTTTTAAGTAATCTCAATACCCAACAGGCAGTTTGATCTTACAACCCTGAGATCAAGAGTCACATGCTCCACCGACTGAGCCAGCCAGGTGCTCCCCCTTTAATTTTAAATACTAAAATAATCTTCCTATTTGAATTTGTAACTTATACATATTAGAGTTCAACTTGAATTTGTTGAATTAGTTTTAATTTTTGCAAGGTTCTAATCAGAAAACATATCTAAAAATGCTTCCTTATAATTTTTGTCAAATTAAGAATCACCTTGAAGTTAAAGGGGTATTTTCAACAATAAAAAGGCCTTATTTGATTTTACTGGTAGTAACATAGAACATCATAGTTCAACTCAACATATAAACTCTGGAAACAAAGAGCAGATTAAAAACATGGAGAACTTACAATATAGAACTTACAACATACACAACAAAGGGTTAACATAATTTATACATTAGAGTGCTCACAAATTTTAAAAATATGAAAAAGCAACTCATAGAAGAGTAAGAATGACCAACAAACATGAAAAACATCCATCTTCAATAGTCAAAGAAATGTAAATTTTAAGAAGATAAGTTTTGTCCATTAAACTGACAAAGATCTGTAGAAACAAGAATACTCTGAGCTGTCAGGAGTTTGGGTCAAGTGGCACTTTCATAATTTGCTACTGGTTATCTCTGGGTGGTAGTACAAGGGTTATTTACTTTCAGTTTTTCAGAGTATTGATGTTTTGACATTTTTCCACAGAAAGTATGCACTTTTTTTAAAATTAAAAAAAATTAACTGAGGATGGCTAAAGCCTCGGAAAATTTGATACTGATGAAACAAAATGTTCAGGAAAAGAAAAAGTAAAACCAGGATTTAACCTGGAGGCTCTAAAATGTCAAAGAGTGCCTCGCAGGATAAGAAGCCTGTAACTCAAGTTAATGAGGAGCTGACAGCTTTTATTCCTTCATCAGATTGTTGTCCGCTTATTAGAGACAGAGAAAGGCACAAAATTTTATTTGGCGATGACTAAATGCCAATTATTCATTTTATTTCAAAATAAAACTGAAGGGTTAAAAAAGTTAGTGACTTGTTATAGAAAAACTTATGAAGGATTATCAGATTCATTTTATATCCTACTTCTTCAAAAAGTTCTCTTTCTGGATAGCAGTTGTAAGAGATTGGTCTCTACCTAAAGGAGCACATTATATACATATATTTATAGCTTATAAAAACAAGGCAAGCACATGTTGAATCCTTTTAAAAAATATTTTGGGGGTTTAGACAACTTATGCAGCTGTCATAAGACGACTATTTGGGGGCAGTTTATAGCATCATAAAAAAAGTTTTATTTGCTAAATTTGTAAAAAGATGATTTATCATATTTTGACCAATTCCAGTAAGTTACAACAAATCAGTTGCTACAAGGTAAATATAAACAGACTCACAAAGCAGTAATAGACACACTTTACTGAGGTACAATGCCTTTTACCACCCAGCAGCTCTAAATGCTACCATCAGAGAGGGCAATTGCCTAGCACAAGATACCAACATTTGTTATCTTCAGAACCGTACATATCAAACTACTGGGACACCTAGCGGCTTCTCACCTTCAAATAACATAAAACCAAAAACAGGAACAAATAAAAACTCCACAAACCAACAAAACAAAAATAATAATCAAATCTCACTAAAAAAAGACAGCTGTGATGTCTGTAAAGCATACTCACTATCCCGCCCAAAACAAGAAAAGACGGATTCCATTTACTTGCTATGTAGCCACTCTCAGCCTCAGGGTTTTTAATTTGTTTGTTTGCTTATAAATCAGAAAAATGGGAACAGTATCATCTACTCATAAAACTGTTATGAGGTTTAAAAGAGATGAAGTTACACAAAAAGCCCTTTGTAAACTACAAAGTTCTTTTTTTTTTTTTAGATTTTTATTTATTTATTGAGAGAGATAGTGATAGAGAGAGAGCATGAGAGGGGGAGAGTCAGAGGGAGAGGCAGACTCCCCGCTGAGCAGGGAGCCCGATGCGGGACTCGATCCCGGGACTCCAGGATCACGACCTGAGCCGAAGGCAGTCGCTTAAACAATTGAGCCACCCAGGCGCCCCGTAAACTACAAAGTTCTATGCTCTTCTTAACATACTTAACTCTTCTATTCATACAAACCAACTTTTTAATAAACTTCTCAACACAGTGTATCACTGAGAAGACTGTAGGCTTCCCTATTTTCAAATTCTCTAAGCAAGGGGCTTCTAACTATTTTGCTGGGTAGAGTTGTGCTTAGAGATATGTGACCTCTAGGTCTTTCATTATGATTCTAATAATGTAGTAATGCCATACCTCTGAATTTATTGCTAAGAAACACTGCTCTGTTCCTAAATTGGTAGAAACCTTTTTTCCCATCAAAACTCAAGTTGTCTACCAAGTTTCTTTAACTAACAATAAGTCTATAAAACACTGTCCTCCCAGACTGAATTCCCTAAAAATGGACAGCTCAGTGTTCTCTATTTTTTTTTAAAGATTTTTATTTATTTATTGAGAGAGATAGTGATAGAGAGCATGAGAGGGGGAGAGTCAGAGGGAGAAGCAGACTCCCCACTGAGCAGGGAGCCCGATGCGGGACTTGATCCCAGGACTCCAGGATCATGACCTGAGCCGAAGGCAGTCGCTTAACCAACTGAGCCACCCAGGCACCCCTTTTTTATTTTTATTTATTTATTTTAAGATTTTTATTTATTGCTCAGTGTTCTCTATACCAAATACTTACTTGGTGTAAGACTCCAGTTGTTTTTGTTTTTAATTAAGTAAACTCCACATCAAACGTGGGGCTCGAACTCATGACCCGAGATCAAGTCTCATGCTCTATTGACTGAGCCAGCCAGGTGCCCCAAGACTCCACTTTTGATCTATATATTACACAGAACACTGTTTAGAGTAGGTTTAATTTTTTAAAAAAAGAAGTAGAGGGGTGCCTGGCTGGCTTAGTCTGTGGAGCGTGCAATTCTTGATCTTGGGGATGTAAGTTCGAGCCCCCACATTGGGTACAGAGATTATTTAAAATTAAATTAAAAAAAAAAAGTAGAAAGTCTTGACAGATCTATGTGTCCTTACTTGTCATGTGTCAAATACTAAAATATCACGTTTCAATTTATACAGAAATGCTAGGAGATATAATAATATCTTTAACTTTTAACTAACAGTGCTAAAAATGATCACAGATACTAATAAATACAGCTAATAGGATCACAGATACTAATAATAAAGCTCTTTAGTAGCACTTATTGAAAACTAATATTTCATAACATGAATAAAAATGACATAAAAATATAGTATTTTTCTTATTTTCATGGAGGTATTTCTTTGGTGACACTCCACATGTCAACAGAAAATGCTACTGCACAAAGAATTTGGCAATCCTGATTTCAGAGGCTACCTTCCAACACTGGCAAGGTTACTATGCTCAAGTCTTGGTGTTAATAGCTGTTGACAAAAATCACCTTAGCTAGTGAGACTGATGTTTCCTAACCATTAGATTAGATTTATACATACGCATAACACAATTACATTTATGATAATGTCTGAATGTGTCTGAATAAAAAATATGTATCTCTCCTCTCTGTTTTGGTTTTTGGGGAACGGGCCAGATCCTTATTTAGAAAAAGAAAAGGAATACCTATACAGGTCATACCATCGCAACACAGTGTCAGTCAGGGTTTTGTGACAGCATTCTCTTTGTCATGGTCTGCTGCATTGTCTTGCATCTCTCTCTCTACCACCAATGTTCATTCTGATACGCAGCTTCTACCTCAGCTCCCTGGGCCCGCGCCTAGCTAACACACACATTCTTCTATTTCCTACCTTTCTTTACAGAAATCAAGCACATCTACTAAAATCAGCCCAACTATACCCAACAAGAACATTGCAAGTAAATTTAAAAACTCACAGAAATTCAGAATGAAGGAGTCTGGAGAGTAGTGTATAAGAGCACAGTGACAATGAGGCAGAGATTTTAGAGTTGATTGCCACATTTACTAGAATGCTATTTAATGACAAAAAATTGTCTAGATAAGCCTGGCCAGAATCATATAAATCTTTACTACACAAAGGGTAACACAAGAGGGTGTGGTGGTCTTCGCATAACCAATAAGTACTTAATAAAAGTGGAAGTTATGGGAGGATAGATTTTAGATCAATTTAAGGAAGAGCTAAGGATTAGAGCTGTACAAAAAAGGAATGGGTTACCTTATGAGGTAGTGGGCTCCCTGTCATTAGAAGTATTCAAGAATGCTGCATATCATATCCCCCTCTTGGAGATTCACAATGCACATTAGCATATTAAAGGTTCTGAGAAGTCCTGCAGTAAAGAAACCTGTTTAACTTTAACGCAGCATTTCCCAAATTATTTGACCACAGAACATTTTTCCCACCCCCACCCCACCTCAATAATATTTACTCATTTCTGTGGAACTAGAATTCCTCAGAATATATTACAGAAAATAATGAGCTACATTTTTTTAAATGTAGTATTCAATATGTACCCGAATAACAATCTGTCAGGGATATAGGAGAAGAAATTTCCACACTGGTAAAAGGCTGGAAGAGAAAGCCCTTAAGGTCCCTTCTCTAAGATTCTGTGATTCTATCACATCTCAAAGAAAAGGGCTATAGGGTTTTGATTATTTATTTAAAAAGGCTCCATGAAAGAAAGGCAAGTAAAATAAAAAGGTAGTAAAATGCAAGGTTAACTGGTTCAAATGCCTCCCCCTTTCATGTTCAAAGCCCAATCCCTAAAAGATAAGAGAGACACCTCAAGGACAGTGAATTATCAAAAAGAAGCCTTCACCAAATATCTACTCCAGCCACTACATTAATTAAAATTTGAGAGAGAGAATTTAAAAAACAAAAACAATAAGAAGTAGCCTCGTATTAGGGAACGATCCTATTCCAGCTCTCTGGTTTAATTTTTTATCATAATACATGCTCTCCAAATAAGGTTAATATTTGTTTGATCCTTAGTCACTAGACTGCCCTATGCAATCTGCAATCTTGAATTAGACATTCAAAAAAATGATTAAAGTGTGACGATTTATAAGCTGTTAGTGTAGATACTAAAGTAGATATTAGGAAAAAAATATGTTGCCTATATGCCCCCACACTGCTACATTTCACTCTCTCTCTTATTTTTTCCTCTTTTAGAATTATACAAACAACACACACTAAAAATGTAGTATCAGACATGAAGCCAATCCAGCAGTAAATTTAAGGATATAAATGCTTAAGATTCCCAAATTTCAAAGTCAAGGTTCCCATAGTTACATTAACCTAGCCATTTTGCACATACACTAAGGCCATCAAATTTAACAGCATATTAAGTAATACAAAACACAATAGGAACCTGAACTTTTGAAATTCCTGACTTTAGAATTTTCAGCTCTAACCACTGCATTAAGAACATTTTTGGCAAAGGGGACCTTTACATTTTAACAGGTTATCGAATGTAGGAACATGCAAGCCCAGCAGTATTATTAGAAACACAAACGCATTTGAGATACAGCTACGTGAAATTAGACAAAAATTCACTTTCACTCAGTGCAAACAGTAAAGCCTCATTTCTGGGAAAGAGCTTTTTTGAAAAAAAAAAAAAAATCACTGAACATCTGAATTATTACCCAACTAGCATCAGGCACACTATACCTGCCTCGTGAAAGTACTTACCAATTTTGGGGAAACGGGCTCTCCTTCAGCTCTCTTGCTCCCTACAGCAGAAGAAGGGGAAAATGCAATTAGACTACAAACACAGATTTATGACATGTCATTAAAGCTGAAGACTTACAGATTTCTGACTTTAAGAAGAAAAAACAAAACACACAAAAATCTCCAAAGCTTTTAACCACCACCCCACCCTACTCCAAAAATGGGAAAAGATGTAGTTTTCACAGCAAGGAAAAAAATCCAAAGGCAGTTAAATCTCTAATTTTCCATTTTTCACTTTTCCACAATTTTTCCAAGACAAGGAAAAGTAAGTAGTTGGCAGTCTCCCTTTCCTAAGAGACACACAAAAATAAAATGTACCTCATCTAAATAACACACAAATACAGGCTCATCCCCAACAAATGGGCTTCACTGTTCATTGCTTTATACTAACAAATTAAGGTTACATCACTGACCTTTAGTTTGGTCTTTAAAAGGTCTTTTTTCAATTAATCTTGAAATGGACTTGTCTGATACAAGGCTTTAAAATTAACAGCATTTTATTTGTATCATCATAATTTCTTTTTTTTTTTTTTAATTTTATTTATTTGTCAGAGAGAGACAGAGCACAAGCAGGGAGAGCGGCAGGCAGAGGGAGAAGCAGGCTCCCCGCTGAGCAGGGAGCCCGATGTGGGACTCCATCCCAGGACCCTGGGATCATGACCTGAACCGAAGGCAGCCGCTTAACCTACTGAGCCACCCAGGCGCCCCTGTATCATCCTAATGTCAATTAAACTTTTCATTCACATTCTTCAAGTCTCACCAATTAAGACTGTAAGCTACGTAAACAAACATGCCTTTCTCTCTGCCACATATTTAATCAGTGATAGAGCCAGAAAGAAAATTAAGGTTTTGGGATCTCAATCTAATGCTCAATGATGCTTTTATTAATTACATTTTTTAAGATCAACTAAACTCCATTAAGTTGACTTCTAAGTTAAAAAGTCAAGTCAGGCTATACTGGTTTGTTTCGTTTCGTTTTGTTTTTTAAGATTTTATTTCTAAGGGGCGCCTGGGTGGCTCAGTCGTTTGGTGTCTGCCTTCGGCTCAGGTCATGATCCCAGGGTCCTGGGATCAAGCCCCGCATCGGGCTCCCTGCTAGGCGGGAGGCCTGCTTCTCCCTCTCCCACTCCCCCTGCTTGTGTTCCCTCTCTAGCTGGCGCTCTCTCTGTCAAATAAATAAATAATGTAAAAAAAAAAAAAGATTTTAAGTAATCTCTACACCCAACGTGGGGCTCAAACTCATGACCCTGAGAGCAAGAGTCACATGCTCTACTGACTGAGCCAGCCAGACACCCTATGTTGTTTATTTTTAACTCTTCCTCACTCCAAACTTCTTTTTCAGTTAAAAAACATGAGGAAACAAAAATTAAAATTTTTCTAATATTTTACTATTAAATTATTTAAACTCCACATACCATGCTCTAAAACTTCCTTATGTTTTAAACATAGTATGTTTGTTGACTGATGTTACTTCAATAGTGTTCTCATTTCGAGGGATATTGTAAAAAATCTTCATGTCATCCAGATTATAAATTTTTATTTAATCAAGTACAGTCATACCAAACATGCAGTAAAATAATTTAAAAGGGCCCCAGTTCAAGCAGTTAACATTCATTTCCAAAAGAAATTCAATTTGCTGTTTTATCCTGCCTTTTCTTTAGCAGCAGTACTTCTGAAAGTTCTCAAGTCCATATAAATGGCTATTTTAATCACCAAGATTAGAATGACTTCCAACCAAAAGAAAAATCATGCCAAGGTCTGTAGAATGATGTGGTTATTTAAAAGTGGATTCTCAGAAGGAAAAAAAAATTGTAACTATGTGTGGTGATGTATGTTTACTAAACTTATTGTGGTAATCATTTTGCAATACACACATATATTGAATCATTATGCTGTATACCTAAAACTAATAATAATGTCACAGGTCAATAATATCTCAATTTTTAAAAAGTGAATTCTTAACATTACAGATAGTACCTACAGGATTCTGTACCATTCAGGCACATAGTAAATGTTCAGTAAATATCTGTTAAATGAATGAATTGACTAAGTGGACCCTTAACTTTGTTGATGACTTATTTTCCCTATGAGATATTTCTTGTTAGCTTTCTCATGCTGGTGATAATTTCTTATGCATCAATCCCCCACAGCATTATTTGTTAAATGAATGACTTTGGATAAAAACAAGTAGATAAGAGAAGAAGATATTGCCATTTTAAAATATAATGAAAAGGAAAAGACTGATATATTGTACTAAATCAAGAACTTCTGTTCATCAAAAAAACACCATTCAGAGAATGAAAAAACAAGGCACAGAATTGGAGATGATAATTCCAACACATAGAATAACAATGGTTTATAACCAGAACATATGAAATATGTTGAAACTCAAAGTGATCAGGATAGAATTGGGATTTTTACTTTTACTTATATGGCATTTGAGAAAGTAGAGTCACATGAATTCTTCTGAAAAGTCATAATTCAGTAAAAAGACACAATGGATGAACATCTTATCTCTAGGGCATTTTCTCCAAAAATCAATAGCAGAGTTAATCCCAAATTGATAAAGAATTTTACCATGATATCGTGAAACCATGAAATCATAAAACTAGTCATAGAACTGCTTACAGGGACTGTAGATATCACATAGGAAATGAAAGGCTGAGAGGTTAAATGACTTCCCCAAAAGTCACACACCAATTGGTTGTAAAGCTGGAGAAAAGCTTACAGACCCTGAGATTCCTTTGACTGGGCTGGCCTTTCCACGAGACCTCACCGCCTCTTAACCAGGTGCAGCAGTAACACTTCTAAGAAACAGTAAATACTGGCAAAATATTTTTGGAAAAGTCTCCATATAAAATTTTAAAGAAAAATTATTATACGTAAGCTATATAGGGCAGGTCTTAAAACTTGAGATCCTTCATGCCTAAGGGATCCTCATGAATGGGCTTTAGAGGGGTTTGCCAACCCTACGATACTATATGCTAAGTTCTGTATATATAAGAATTCTGGGAAGAGGAGACCCACACCTCTTTGCAAAGAAGTTCAGATACTAAAAAAGAGTCAATTATTTTTAGACTAGTGATTTTTAAACACTGTGCATCACAACTACTAGTGTTTCTTCTAATTGACTACCATTTGAAAACTGATTTAAAAAAGATTTTATTTCTATAATTTAGTAAGAGCGAGTGAGCAAGAAAGATCTATACATAAATGTGTACTTTAACACTACCTATATGTAAAATGTATTTAAGTCTGAAATGCAAGTTTGATTTAAGGTGACTGAAAGTCCACTTAATTTCTCACATACTCTTCATACTCAGCTAAGGTAGTTAAAAATTTTAACCATATTTGCTTAAATTTTTCAAATATAGATTTATTCTTAAAAATGCGCTCAGAACACATAAGTTGGACTAAATGAAATTATTTTTGCTTTTAGAGATGAATATTATCTTGCTAACATAACTTCCCATGATTTTTTGCAAACTAAAGATGGTTCACCTCTCCAGAACTTCACAGGGAGCTGCTTTAATTAGAGCTGGTAAAGAAATGAATCATTCAGATTTCTAATATGGTTGTAAAATTTAAAATTCCATCACTAAATCAAAGGTGATTAATAACAACTTAAGTACCTTTTGTAAAATATCTAAAACCTTTGTATGAAGAACATATATTAAATAATAAACAAATTTTACAGAGAAAAGGTTTAACATTAGATCATGTTTTAAATTAGGCTAAAATTCATCCCACTACAAATTCGAACAATTAAGTTTATAGTCTGTGCTCAATCATAAATTTTGATAAGGGACTAGAATAGCACAGGTAATTGTCATTCAGAGACACTTTAAAATGTCACCTTACGCAGAAGATTCAATCTCTTCTCTTCTACTACACCAAGCTGATACACTAATTTTATATACAATAAGTTTTACTGCTTTTTATCTGCCCTTCCTAACTTCTAACAGAAAGCATAAATAAGTTTGAAATACATTTAAATGCAAACAAGTGCTCAGAAGAAAAAGCAGAATCCTACTTAATGAGATTTAGTCCTTTAGGTCCCAATATCATAATCATCCCTGTGTACCCCATTCCTCTTAGTCTTACCCTCTCATGGACATCCCTCTAGCACTTCTCCCCTCAGTTTCAAGAAGCATCAATTTTCCCCTCATTACTGCATCATTTTGTTTCTTCCATCTTTTTTTTTAAAGATTTTATTTCACTACACCCAACATGAGGCTCAAACTCACAACCCCAAGATCAAGAGTTGCACGCTCCATCAACTGGAGCCAGCCAGGAGCCCCGTTTCTTCCATCTTAAAAAAAAAAAAAAAAAAAGCCTCCCTTGACTCCATATCCTTCTCTAGTTACTGTCCCATGTCTATGCTCCCGTTTAAAAGAAAACTCCCTCAAAGAGTTAACCATATCTCTGTCCCTAGTTCCTTCTCCCCATCCTCTACTGGACTCACTCCATTAGGGCTTTGGCCTCCTTCTATTCTCAAGATCACCAATGACCTCCCTGTTGCTAAAGCCAATAGAAAAATCTCAGCCCTCACTTCCATGTTTGATCAGTAGTATTTGACCCAGTGGGTCATTTCTTCCTTCTTGAAACCCTTTCTCTCCTGACTCCCAGGACACCACCCAATCTTGATTTTCCTCCTAATCTCTCTGGCCACTGTTCTGGATTTCTTATGCTGGTTTCTTCTCATCTCTCAAGACCTCAAAATGTCGAACTGCCCCAGGGCTCAGTTCCTGGCACTCTTCCCGTTAGGTAATCTCACCCACTCTCATGGCTATAAAATGATCTGTACACTGGTGACCCAAATTTTTATCTCCAGCTCAGACCTTTCCCCTGAATTCCAAAGTCATATACCCAACTGCCCACTCAATACTTGTCAAATAGGTTTCTCAAGCTCAACGAGTTCAAAAGTAAACTCTTGACTACCTATCCCCCAACCTCCTCTTCAGAGTCATCCCCACTTCAGTAAGTGGCAACTCCATCCCTT